GAAATAATATCCTGAGGGAGGTAACCAAGACCCAGAAAGACAAACATACCATGTGTTCAATTATATGTGGATGCTAGCTGTTAAGTCATTGATAATAAGTTAAAATCTTTATCACCACAAAGGTTAGATATAAAGTAAGGGGCTGGCAGGAATGATGGATCTTCTTAGGAAGGGAAGTAGAATAGATAGCTAGGGATAAATTGCATTGTGGGAGGGGGAGCATCTGGAATGGGAGGATCAAACAGTGATGGGGAGGAAAGAGAGTGATGGGGATGGGGCAGCTAAAATTAAGGGCCATTTAGAGGAGTTGTAATGAAAACCTACTATACTAGAATCTTTCTAAACCATACATTTATGATGGTATTCTAAAGAAAATCTCTAAGTAGTGGGGGAGACAGTGCCAAAACCAAACATCTCTCTTTAACAAATGAAGATTCTTGTATAAGTAATGGGTTACATTTAATTAAGCTGTTAGAGAAAGAGTTCCCATGGGAAACCCCAAACTATCTAAATGACTACTAATGCTGTTTGTTGCTCTTAGTAAACTTACTGTAAGGTCCTACTGCTGAAGAAAACACTTACACATGGAATGTAGAGAAGTCAAGTGTCTTTACCAAGACGTCTGGACCTTTCACCCATATCACCTAGTGTTCATGGTATCAGAAGGTACTGCGCATGTCATCAAAGGAGAAAAATAAGCATACATCCAGCTACAAACATTGATGATTTGAATCTACAATGGTGATTTGAATGCAAGATGTGTTAGTGCAATAGTGGCACAACTCTTGTGGGAATAATCAGTCAATATCTGATTGGATTTTTGGTCTATGCCATGAGATGGAACCCACACCCTCTACTACTTGGATGGCCAATAATCTGAGACAAGCTAGCCCAGAGACCTAGGGTAAATCCAGATACTACTGTCTGCTAAAGGAACTCATCAATAAAATGGCTTTTAGCAATGGTCTGCTTTCCTCAAGATCAGTGTCTTGCTCACCCAGCATCGTAGAAGCTTCTTCTAGCAGCAGGTGGGGACAAACACAGAGACCCACAGCTAGACAATGTGCCTGTCACACTTAGCTCTAAATGGGATGTCCCCATCAAATATTTCCTTTCTCAGCACAGGGAACTCTGCAGAAAAGGAGGAGGTCAGAGTTCTAGAGATAGAGGGGATGTAGACCCCAAGGAAACAAGGCCTTCTAAACATGACTGATCCACAGAGTGTGAGGCAGCATGCACAGGGCCCGTACCACATAAAGTTTCCGTGTTGAGAAGAAAAATGGACGCAGGTCCTCATCCCATCCCTAACCCAGAGTTTATCTCTAGTTGATAACCACTAGCAAATGAAAAATTAGTTTCCCCGAAGGGAGTCTTACAGGGGAAATGAACTACTCTTAAGTGTAGGCCATGCCCGGCAGTAGACAGTCAACACAAGATAAACTCAAAGGTATCTCTGAAGATTCTTTGTCTCATAATGTTGAGTCAAGGCTTTCTTTTTTTATAAATGGTGTAGATTCTTTGTGTATACATTATTGCATCCAGTTTTGTGTTTCTATGGAATGCCTATGTGGGTAGGTTTGTGTGTCTCTGTGTCCACATGTGTTTCTTGTGTTTTTTCTTTGGCTCTTTTCCTTCTTTTTATTTGTTTTTTTCTAGTCTGATTTGTTTATTTTGTTTTATCTTACTATCTTTTACTTAATTTTATTATTTTCCCTTAGATGTCTGTTTGTTCTCTATGGAGAGACAGAAAAAGTGTGGAGCTGGAGGGTGGTGAGGGACAGGGAGCAGTGGAGGAAGGGAAACTGTAACTAGAATATATTGTATGAAAAAAATCAATCTTCAATAGAAGGATAAAAAGAAAATTTAACCTCAACAGCAATAATCAAACTTCTCATTGCTTACCCAATAATGTCTATTTTATTTGACACATCTCAGAGTTCTTTTGTGTTTGTAGATATCAGTGTTCAAGTTGATCTTTAAAAACAATGGCATTTGAGTTAATGTTGATAAAACCAATGCTCTATAAATATTCTACTTCTCAGAACATATGATAGGGCCACCAATAAACAAAAATGTATTTTCTAGGAATTCAGGAATGAATACTGATCTGTGAATTTTAACTTCGTGCTGAACCAGAAGAGCCTGTGAGAATATGAGCCATTTGGATGTCTGTGGAGTCAGCAGTAGAGTAACACTGTACACATGTACACGTTAGGAGATGAAGTGAAATTCTTAATGCACTTACATTAAATGCTTTGCATAGTTTTCACGATGCTTTCTTTACATAAATCCCTAAGCTATCTGAATTTACTATCACACACAATATTGTTTATTCTTTTCTCCATTCCAACCCCTTGGTTAACACATTGGTTCATATTTCTGCTGATAACATTGATTTTTTTCATATAACACACATTTCTGTACTTATTTATTCTCTATGTATCTACAGCCATCAAGCTAGAAACAAGGGTTCCCTTAGCTCTTTGCAGCTTCTGTTCTGTCTCTGGCAGGATGCCATGAAGATCAATCTGGAAGCAAGTGTTCTTGACTGTAAGAGACACCTCTTTGTGGTCATAGTTTATGCTTCTTCACAGGGAGAGACCTCAACTGGTTCCCCGACTGGGCAGCAGTGACCCACTAGCTGGTCCAGCCAGAGACAAATGGAAGGGCAGGGAAAAGGAAGGTGAGGATGTGATCGTCTTAATTTAAGCCCCCAGGGAAGAAAAAGGATGGGAACTCTCTTAGGTGGGCAATATTGGAGGAGAATTCATGGAAAGACTGACTGGGGAAAGAAACACAGAAGAAGCCAAGATCACCAGCAAAGAGAGAGGAAGGAACAACTACGGCCTCAACGGGGAGGCAGGGAGCATGGGGGCCTGTGGGTAGGACCCAGTCCTCTTAGCAACTGCCCATCTTGCCATTCCTGTTAGAAGCGTTTGTGAAAGTACCTTGGTTGTACACCTTTTAAAGTTTCAATCCAGTTCTAAATAATTGAGCCATTTTTGTTCAAAAGCAGTATTTATTTTTTAAGAAGATAAGAAACATAATACTTTTGAATAGAGAACGCCGTGAGGAGGGGAGGGAGCGGGAACTGGGATTGATATGTAAAATGAAAAAAAACAGTTTGTTTTCATTTTTAAAAAATAAAATAAAGAAGAAAAGAAAACACTGTGAGAGGAAAAGCTGCATGTTACTGATATGACAAAAAAAAAACCAACCCCAAACCAAACCAACCCAAAAACCATCAAACCCCCCCACATATGAGAGTGTTCTGCCCTCTAAGAACACATTGAGTGAACGGCATTATTCCAGTTGAGTGAGTTATGCAGACTGTATATTTATTAGTTTATTTTGAAGTGCAATTTGTACAATGGTATGTTTTTTATTCTTAGTCCTTTGACGGCCATGAAGCAAATTTGTTTGCTGCATGTTAGATGTAGAATAGAAAACAGAAAACCAAGAGAGGGTGTTTAGTAAGACATTCAAGAAAGGCCTCGGTGTATATGCCTGCTTATGCTGCAGCTAGTAAATAAAGGACAGTAAGGCTGTACCTGGTTATCACAGGCTGGAAGGTTTATTGAGAATTGTGTAGAGCACTCTAATGCTTTATGTTCACACGTATGGCGTGAGCTGTGCCCTATACAGTGAGTGAGGTAAACTACAGTTTAGTTTTGGTACAGGAAGTCACTGCTTCGCAGGAAACCTGAAAGTGGCCACCGAGAAAAAGTGGCCTGGGGCGCTTCTCATTGTTCTGTCATGCTGGACAGCCGAACAACACAGTATTTAATCCTAATGCTCACTGAGTAGAAACTGATCATAGATAACTGCACAGAACCTTCAGAAGACGTGACAATAAGCACAGGTCTGCTGGGCACAGCTGGTAGCTTGGATTAGAGGGCATAGAACTTAGCTATGTAAGTGTGTTTGAGCTGATCATCTGACACAGGACTAAAGCAGCCTGGGCACAGATCATACACCAGACAGGTCTGTGCTCAGGGCGGCACTGGCTCACAGAAGAAACCACTTCTCTTTTCTACACTCAAGGCAGGAAGAAGAATGTCGTTCCCAGAGAGCGGTCCAGGTGAAGCTGACTTCAGTGTTCCCTCCTAAGTTTCTTGCTTTGGAGAGAGAGATGAATGACTTCCCATTTATGGACTCAGTCATGTTGGTGTAGACACAAGGGAGCTACTGAGGGAAACCGACTCTCATTCCTAATAACCAACGCAGAAAGCTTTCCAGGGGGAAAGCAGGGCAAGTGTGAGCCTCCACAGCCTCTAGCAGGTTCTACAGAACAGAGTCTGAAGACTGCAAAGGACAGGAAACCTCACATCTAATTTCCACTGATTCAGAATATGTATTCAGAATCTTAACTATAGAATTAGGAATTCATATAAATAAAAGTTATTTTGTTAACACATAAAAGCTTTTAGGCTGTAAATATTTCATGATGGCCTGTCTGATATAACATGATAAGCCCATGCATATGTATTGGAAACAGAAGCAAAAGCAAAACAGAGAAAGACTGGCACAGTTTGGAGAATGTAGATCAATTTTTAAATGTAGACTGTATCTAATAGTCTGTTCAATTCCCAGTTATGTCAATATTTGCTTATTTCCGACTTTCTATCACCCACATCTTCCTGTGAATGCCATGTTGAAAGGCTTAGGCAAAATGGCATGCTATTCCTGAAAATACTTGCTTTTTTGCAGATTTTAGAAAGAAGAGAATCAAAAATTCTGCTGAAACCTATTGATTGCCTCATGGACTATCACAACACTTCCTGAGCAATTCACTGTGAAGTGTGCTCAATCAGTGAGCTTGCTTTGACAAAATACATAAAAGAGGACTTGATTTGATCCTTAACAACCATGTATTATTTGGTGTTTTTCCAGGGAAAGAAAGATAATTACTGTCCGCATTTGTACGTGTGCAGTGCATCTCATGCAGAAAATATTTAAATATTTGCTTTGCCCCTGGAAACTTTATTTTTGCCATGGAATTAAGATATACATAAGAATCTCACATCTTTTATTTAATGGACAAAAGCCTTCTTTAAGAAGCAAGAACTGATATGTTTTGTGAAATGTTTCAAAAATTTATAGTCTTATTTTTTTAAAGAGATGTTTTACATGTTTGACACATTTCTTAATACAGCAAAATTATTGAGTAATAATCTAATCATTTGTCTCTGGAGGACCTCAGTAAATATACTGAATAAAATGCTTCATCTATTTACACACATAAAGATAGACATGTATCTCAGGATACATACATATCTTCACAATCTACTAATGAATCAATTCCTGTATTTATGGATATAGAAGTTAATGGTATCTGCTCCTTGCCATGTCACCAACAAAGCGAGGTTTCCACCTGTGTTCACTGCACTGCAGCTGAGAAGCAATTTTGGTTGCTTAGGGTGGGACGAGTCCCTTACCATGTCTGGACCTAAAAGGCTTTTTATGCTTCATGTACAGATGTGCACGGTGTCTTATCGTGGTGGTCTTGAGCTGCAGACACAGTCACACCGCTCATGGTGATCCAACTGGATATCTATGAGAGCCATGTTCTTAGCTTTGCCCCTTCTCTTGAAATGGCCAGGCTCAAACTTTAATACCTAGAATAAGAAGCATATTTCCTATTAGAAAACCCATGGGGTTTAATTCAACCAGACACCACCCGCCCATCCCCCTTCTGATAACTAGTATGTGTGGTGGTTTGAAGGAAAATAGGGAGTGGCACTATTAAGAGGTGTGTATTGTTGGAGTAGGTGTGGCCTTATTGAGGGAAGTGTGTCACTGTGAAGACAGGCTTTGACGTCTTATATGGGAAAGCTATGCCCAGTGTAGCACACAGTTCACTTTCTGTTGCCTGCAGACCAAGATGTAGAACTCTTAGCTCCTTCTCCAGCACTGTGTCTGCCTGCGTGTCACCATGTCATTCCATGGTGCCAATGAACTAAACCTCTGAAATGTCAAGCCAACCCCAAATTAAATATTTTCCACAACAATGAGGACACTAAGGATCTCTTGAGTAAATTGCGAGCATGGGGACCTTTGGGGAAGGCTGAAGGGAGGAGGGGAGAGGCAGGAAGGGGAGCAGAGAAAAGTGTGAAGTTCAATAAAAAATCAATAAAAAAAAGAGTTGCTGTGGTCATGGTGTCTCTTCAAAGCTATAGAAATCCTAACTAAGACAGTACACAAGCCTTTGAGAAGTCCAGTGAATGAGATAAATTTGATATAGCAATAAACACATTAGATATTTCTACAAATAGCCATTGATCCCATAATCCCTCCCAGAATAATGTCCCTGCCTTTCTGTCAGTAAGAAGATGTCTTCAGGTATCTTAGTGGACAGTACTGATAGCCTCCTAAAGACCTAAGCTGAGCTAACTACTGTAGAAATGTAGAAATATATCATTGCTCTTCTTAGCAAAGCATGTGTTGTAAACAAATATAATACTAAATATATTAACACCAAGGACAAGATGATAAGGTTTGAGCAGAAAGCCAATATGAATAAATGCTAGATTAAAGCAAATCCCTCCTCGGCTCCCCCAGAGGGCTATTAGTGGCAACAAAATTACTTATTTGTGACTATATAATGCTTTCTGCAATTCAAAAGACTGAGCTACAACACAATATTTGCACACTAATATTTGTATATCATCATTGTGTTACTATACTCAATAAGTATATTTAATAACTTTTTTAAATAAGTAAGTATAAAATAATTTTTCTTCCTTTAAAATTGTTTATTATTACTGCTGTTTGTATGGTGTGTGTATGTGTGTGTGAAAGAGTGTATGGGGTGTGTGTGTGTGTGTGTGTGAGAGAGAGAGAGAGAGAGAGAGAGAGAGAGAGAGACAGAGTGAGTCGGCAGAGGTCAGAGAACAACTTTTAGGAGTTGATTCTCTCCTACTGTGGTTTGTGGGGATCACAGAGTACTTCTATCTGCCAAGCCATCTCTCTGGTCCCTAAAATAATTTTGCAGATCTTTAGTTTAAAGAGACTCTATGCCTTCTTGTCTGCTGCAGGCTTCACTGCGTCAAGCACTGTCCCAGGGACATACATTTGGTCACATCGCAAACTCGTCTTAGCCAGCTCATCCTTCCTCTTCTGTTTGTAGACAGGTTTCCACCAGGCTGTATGTTCGAGTTATTTCTTTCCTCACCATGATACTGGCAAACAATTGTGAAGCATCTTGCAGTTTTCCAAAACTCTGTGCAGGTTTTCCCCATTTCTGATCATTGTTTGTTACATGGTGGAGATGTATGGCTGTGCATGATTTATTGATCAGAAAGGAAAGGCTATAAATCCGGGAAGTCCCTCTTTAGAGTCTTCTGCGGATGTAGGCTCTGGACCAGAATATTACCTCCTAGCTTTTAGAATGTTGACAACATGTCTCTCTCTGTTAAACCTACCACTTCCTTCTGTATCTGAAGCTTTGCCTGGAGCTGAGTGTGAAGTTCAGTGGGAGTTCCCTATGCTTTGTTTGGTATACTTTGGACCGCACTGAAGTTTACATGGGACGGGGCTGGGGACTTACTTTAATGCCTGCATAACTTTCTATGGCATCTTTAAAATTCTACACTATGAATTGTGTTCTTACACATTTTATTACTCTCACAGTCAGTGCTGAAAGTCCTAACCAAACCCAAAGCATTTATTAAGAACAACTATGTCAAGATTCCTCAGGACCAAGCCTCCCAGTCTATAGTCTCCATCTCTTTAGCCTTTAGCAAAGCTGTTTGTTGAGCTCTCCAGCAAGGCAGAGTACAGCCATTTTTTTTATGTTCATTCCAGTAAGGGACCTGGAGTTTGATTCAAAAGAATGGTGTCAAAAGCAAAAAATTAAAGGACCATGTTCCAATAAGTTCAAATGACAATATCATAGATTGTATAATTTTTTCCCATGACTCTACTACAATTATACATGCATAATTTGTGTCACACAATTCTGTATGTAGTTTGATGTCCTCTCTGGTAAATGGATTGTAAAAGTAAAGATGGTAAATACTATCTCCAACATTGAGTATGTCCCAGATACCAAACCCTATTGTAACTGACTTTGCAGCTATGAAATCTATTCAACACAAAAAGAAAAATCTCTTGTTCTTCCATGAAAATCCATGTAATAAGTGCACTTTGGGGTATCAGCTAGTCCTGCTGACAACGAATAGGAAAACTCTGCCATAGTTGGTAAGAAAGTTCTGGACAGGACTGGGTTGGAGCCCTGTAGCCTCACCAAGCATTTCTCCAGTATATTTTCCTTACTATTGTCCCAGACCATCTGCATGTAAACAGGATTAGGGGTTACCGGGGAGTGACATGATTCCTAAGAAGTGGAGCTTCCTAAGTATTTGTTTAAAGCAGACCATTATCAAGCTCTGAAAATTTCCAGTGACAGGCACCTGGAACAGCAGTCTTCTGTTGATTGCTTCCCATTTGGTGGCAAACAAAGTGAATGTTTGTTATAAGAGTCTGGACAGGTTTTCTAGTTGGTCTTCTGATTCTCCAGGGATTTTCCCCGTGTTTTATAATAAGCTATCAGAGCACAATATATATGTGTTTTGCTGCTAAGAAAAAAAATGAATTGACAGACACTTTCTCCAGATAAGTCAGAAAAGCACTATTTGAACAAAGTGGAAATTGAACTGCTTTAATGGCTGATCACAGCACCGATGTTCAAAGCTTTCAGACCATGTAATAGTTTTAAGTTCAGGTACACGGTATTGAAAGGATGAAGCAAGCAAGGCTGATTGGAGGAAGCGTGGAAAGTTAAAAGAAAAATGAAAAACTCTTATCAGCAAGAGCAAACTGGTAGGTTATGGATTACCTGGCCACCTTTAAGGAGAAGTGACCTTTGAATTAATCACAGCAGCCAAAGGAACTTGGTAATGGTACAATCATAAAATGTTTTCCTATTTTCCAGGCTATCATTCACAGCTGCAAGCATACACACGGAAATGAAAATCCACCGAGGTGCAGCCAGCCATAGATCAGCACCTATGGGCAAGATTGGAAATCTTTACTCCTTTTCATTGTCTGAAAAAAACATGTGAAGCCAAGAAAATTGGCATCTACCAAATGGAAAGTGACGGACCCAGTCGATGACTTTTATGCCGTAAAATCAGAGATGCTCAGCTTTATTAAGTACCAGTGTCATAATCCCACAAGATGTTTGACTACTATCCTTTGCCTTGTAGCCAATAAACCAGTGAATGAGTCATTGCTATAAGGCTATTACACTAATAAAATAATACCAGGCAGAAAAAGCTATTTGCTGACTTGAGCTCTTGTTTATTGGGAATATAAAAAAAGTTGTTAAAACCTTGTAACTGTTCCTAAATTAATGGCTGGCATAGAAATACAAGTGCATAATTCAGGGCAAATATATTATATAAACACGAATCATTAAGAGTTTATTTAAGATTTTACCTAACTTTGAAAACAAGCAGTATTCAACACAGAGATTTAGTTCCTTAAGAAACAAATTCCTATTTTTGCTTCCATATTGCCTTCTCTCATATGTAAAAATTTCATATGAATATAGAGATTCACACAGTCTAAGGGATGGAAGTGAATTACTCTGAAACTCGAGTGTCTAAGGAAAGCTACTTGGAAGAGAAACTACATTTTTTTTCCTCTGGGAAATGACTCAGCTGAGCCTGGGCAGTGTGAAGCACTGAACTGTGTCTAAGGGACAGTGCTTCCGAAGAAAGACAGTTTCTAAGAGCAGCTTAAATGGTACACAGAAAAGAATGAAGATGACAGATACCTGGGTTACACTGAGGTTTTAGAAAATTCTCATGACTTCTGAAAAGGCAATCTTGACATCTGTGGATGTTTGTTTCAAATAAAAACTATACAGGAGCATGCCAGAATTACCATGAGGATCTTTGTAAAATTAAATGGCAAAACAATTTTAATAGCAATTTAGAGGAACCTTGTATACATATTTAGCCTCTCTGCTGCAGAAAAACATGGGAGCTGTCTTGCATGGAGTTCTAGAACAACTCACAGGTCTGAATTAACACAAGTGCGACTTGTTGATCATGAGAGTGTTGTATCCCTTGCAAGTTTGCTAAGGTTATTCAACAGGGTTTGGTGTGGCAAGTGAGTGAGCAGGGCTGGGAAGCATTCAGCATAGAGACTGTCAGGCCATTGGCTCTCCGAGTTCTGTTCACATTTGCCTTGTGGTTTACAGTCTTTGGATGCTGTCAGTCACCTCCCATCCCCACATGGAAAGAAGCATAAGTATTCTGATTGTCATTCTGGAAATGACTAAACTCCCTTTTTATACAAGCTGTTTATAGATGCAATATCCCATACCATAGCTTTCTTCTTTTGCAATCACATGGCTCTTTAAGCACCAATCCCTTTATATTGCTTATACAATTTCAGTAAGAGATAGGGAAAAGTAGAAGAGTTGATGGATATCAGGCTATTGGAAGGCTTCTTAAAGCCTTCAAGTTGTAGGCTTCCTTTGGACTGAGGGATTTCCTTGGCTAGCATTCAGTTGTTGCCTGCTTGGCAGAGCTTGAACTTAATGTGTTTCTGCTTCCTGTCCTGGTTCCCTCTCACAGAGCAGGGAAACAGGTGTGACTCATGGTCC